AAAAGAAGTCCTGCATCGTTACTATCCACTCTCACTTTGTTTTGTCTCCAAGGAGGGTGTCTACCATCTGGTGCGTTCAGATCTCTAACATTCTTTCCGTAACTAATTTGTGACTGAAATGTCCAAGTTACAAAGACGGCTACCAAGGATCAGGGCTAGTGGTCCCCCTGCACAGCCACAAACCCTCCGAGGGTTTTTGGGCTTTGATGGACAGCTTGTGTTCCATTTGATTTAAAGGCCTCACAAAGGCTTTTGTTTAGATTTGTAGGGGCCACAGTAAATACTTTTCCGTACACGTGAAATTGATTATGGTTAATGTATTTAACATCAGCACAATATATTGCCTATCAGCAGCTTTAATGAAGAAAAAAAAAAAGAAATAAACAAAGAAGAGAGTTCCGGCCTTCGAAAAGTTAAATCTTACAACATGCCCATCATGATTACAGTAAACGGTGCAAAGTGTGCATCCTCTGAGTCTCAGGAGTATGTATTAACAGCTGGGTAGATGACAAACAAGTCAAACTCACACCCACAAATAAACTTGACAATTTATTAGCAATATTTGAAGAAAGTTATAATTTCTGTTAAATCTTATATCGAGTTCTTTTTGTCATTTTATCGTTTTACCTTTTAACAAGAACCGCACAAGATAGACTCACGAGGATAGATGTCTAGAAAATGTTTAGCAGAGCGCACTGACTTGGACATTTTTTAAACCTTTTATAAGTTCATTTATTAATATGGCCTGCTTAAAGGCACTGCCACAATACAGGGGGTGGGGAAAAGCTACTGTCCATCACTCACACAAGACAGTCCATCCTAGTGTCTAGTATACATGGGGGGTGGGGGTGGGGGTTAATAGGTGGGGCTGCTATAGGTAAATCTCATAGAAATCGTCCAGCTCCTCGTGAAACAAGTCCCACTCGTCCTCTGAATCTGTCACTTCGTCGTCAGTTCCTGCGGCGAGCAGCATGAGGAGCATCTCGCTCAGCTCAAACGTCACCATCTCCTCGTCCTCGTTGTCAAAGGAGTCGGTGCTTTCCCGCTCGTCAAAGATGTCCCACAGCGGCGTTCGCCTCGAGTTCTGGAGGTGGGGGGGGATTTGTTTATTTTTACAATCACGATGCCTGCTCAACCATTAACCATCTGATGATGACATCGTCTATTGGCCCAACACTACTTAGGATGAGTACCGATTTTCACATGGGCTTTTTATTCCCACTTATCAGAAAAGTGTGAATGGTCAGAGCAGTACACTCAAAGTTTACAATAAACACAGCCCAATACTTGCTCTTACAAAATAAAGTGGAAAACAAAATCGAGCTAATGAAGGCAATAAATAGCTGAACTATGGTGTTTTTGCATTACAGAAGTGACTGGACTCTTTCATTCAGATTTTGTTATGCAATTCCACACAACTGTCCTATAACACTTCTAACTTTACATATTTTAACTGTCGGTGGCACTCTGCAACTGAAAATTGAGCTCTCTGACAGTTTGTGCTCAAGGTGAACTGGACTGCATTATAATACAGAGTTAAGACATCTTCTCTCTACATAGGTATCGGACTGTATTAATACAAATATACAACCTTTTAAGCGTGGTAGTATTTATTGCAGGTTTACTGTTTGCATTACACCTCAGATGTGTTTCTACACTGAACCGCACATTTTGGAGTGGCCTTTTATTGTGGCCAGCCTAAGACCTTTTATTGTGGCCAGCCTAAGGCACACCTGTGCAGTACCCATGCAGGGTCCCAGCAGATGGCAAATCAAATACTGCCATCTGCTGGTTCCCTAGTAAATCACATTAAGCCTGTGGCAAAGAACCTTGGTGTTTGGTTTGATAGTAATTTAAATTTCGAGCAGCACACCACAAAGCTTGTTCAATCATGTTTTTATCAACTAGAAATATAGCTAAATTCGATCTATGTTAACTTTTAAGGACACCGAGACCATTTTACACGCCTTCATCTCATCACGCCTGGATTATTGCAACAGCCTTTTCACCTGTTTAACCCAAAAATCTATTGATCGACTCCAGACTGTCCAGAACTCAGCTGACAGGCTTTTAACCAGAACAAAGAAATATGACCACATTACTCCTATTTTAGCTTCATCACACTAGCTCCCAGTATGTTTTAGAATTGACTTTAAAATTCTATTGATTACTTTTAAAGCTCTTCATGGCCTCTCACCTTGTTGTATTTTGACCTTTTAGTCCCATACGCACCAGCACGTACCTTGAGATCCTCGGGCAGAGGTCTGTTGTCTGTTCCAGAGTCTCGACTGAAAACTAAAGGGGACAGAGCGTTTGCTGTCAGGGCCCCGAGGCTCTGGAACAGCCTGCCCGAGGAAATCAGGTCGGCTGAGTCAGTGAACTCTTTTAAGTCCTTCTTAAAACATACTTTTATAGGAGAGCTTTTCCCGATCTTATTTGACTCTATTTTATCCCTTTTATTTTATTGTATTTATATAAATTTTCATGCTCTTATCTTTTTTTTGTATTATTCTTTACACTTGTTAAAGCACTTTGTAACTTGTTTTTGAAAAGTGCTCTACAAATAAGGATTATTATTATTATTATTATCTGTCAGCATCTTGATATGCCACACCTGTGAGGTGGATGGATTATCTCGGCAAAGGAGAAGTGCTCACTGACACAGATTGTGACAGATTTCTGAACAATATTTGAGAGAAATAGGCCTTTTGTGTACATAGAGGAAGTCTTAGATCTTTGAGTTCAGCTCATGATGAATGGGGGCAAAAACAAAAATGTTGCGTTTATAATTTTGTAAAGTGTGCTTTTCTGATCTCCCTGCATGTTATTACACCTTCCACTTTCGAAATCCAGCAGAGGGAGCTACAGTTAAGGAGATGTAGTTACTGTTTTAAGGACTATAAAAGCAGACATGAGCACTGAAACTAGTGATTGAGTGACGTTTAGAGAGCAGGGCAGCTGATGGCCGGTATCAAATCAAAAAAAGTCAGGAATAATTCCATGCCGAGTACAATTTAATACAAATGTTATCTAGCCAGTAATATGTTGTTTCAGATGGAAGCTTTATTAAGAAATAGAAAAATGAGTTCTGCTGAACATTTCAGAATGTGATTCAGCTCCATTACTCTCTGTAATATTAAAATTTATTTTTAGCGCTAGCCAGTGATGGTATTAGATTAGAGCTGCTGTCACTTAAGACAGCAAATCAGAAAAAGACGATAGTGACTTGAGGACATTTAGGGCTCCAAACTAACTTTTAACACCGCCTTCAAAAAACTCACAATAGGGAGCACCGACATCGTTCCACAGCAGCTCACTGACGAGGCTGCTGCAGGTGTGTCCACAGACACTTTGTCTTTATCTGCCTCGAGAGCATAGGTCTCGGATTTTCGGTACCAATCCATGTAATTACAATCTTGCTCGCATTAATGTATTTTAGGAATACTTATTGGTGAATAGTATGACAGTATGTTAGGAGACAGTGTGAACAGTTACCCGATTCCTGCTGTTGGATCCATTCTGTCTTCGCTGGGGCTGTGCTTCCTCCAGCCGCCCATCAGGAAAGGCATGCTTGTAGAAGCAATTTGAGCCGAAAGGACACGTTCCACGACCCTCATCAAAGTATCGACACGGTTTACTCCTGGAGAAGAAGAAAGGGAAGCCAGAGAGGATGCACAGCAAATTAGACTGTCTCAGTGATCAGACACCAAAACACACCTCTAGCATCACTAATCAATCTTTGAGTGATGCATGTTTCCCAGTTGAGCTTTTCTTTAATTAAATGAAGACAACATTTTCTAAAGAGTTTTAGTTTTGTTTATTTTACTGCTTCCTGCTGAGTTTCCCACCATTACAACCCCCCTAAATTTGCAAAAAAACACTATGAACTGGCTCCCTGCTTCTCTGACTTGTTGTTTCAAACAGTAGACACAGACCAGTTGGTAGAATCAGTCTCTGTGCAGCAGTGATACTGTTATTGTTTAAAGATTGTGTAGTGAATGTATGGGAGTGTATTCTCTGTGGTCCCTGAATATAGGGAACGGTCTGTGTACCCCATGCCGTCCTTGTTTCTGGATGAGTTCTGCTTGTCGTCCTTATCTTCCACCCAGTACTCGCTGGGGATGACAAAGTTGGATGTGATTCGACACTCTGGGCAAGACCTGCAAAAAAACAAAAAACCAACAAACAATTGGTGAGAAGGGTCCTAGAACATTGTAGTCAGGTTAAAGATTAGCTGTGTGGTCACACTGGGATTGGGCCAATGTGACATCCTGCCCATCACATTTTAATAAGAACACAACTTGTAACCTAACTTTAGTTAACCTGTCTATATCATTTAAGCATACCGTCTATCATTAGATTCTCAATTGTTTTCCCACAGCAGGGCTAGAGACTAACGGCGTCCTGGGGACGATACAAAATTTGTTTGGGACGAAGAGAAATATTCTGTAGGACACCTCTAGGACAAAAGGGATTATGTAGACCTAGGTGTTTATTTATTACGCTTAGCAAATGACAAACTGAACCGACCGAGCGCTGACTACAACGGAGGTCGTCTTCTCACACTGTTACTAGTCACGCCGGACTCACACAGGAGGCCGGCTGCTCACCTCTTCCCGCGGTAAAGGTCCATCTGTCCTCTCAGTGACAAACGGCTTGTTGACTTCTCAATCGCACTGTGTAGGCTAGCGTTTAGCGCCACACATCAATCTTGTCATGCAGTGAAAAACAAATCAACATTCTGATAACGCCGACTAGCGGCGAGAATCATCTCCACCCAGCTGATGAAACTCAGCATACGGCGTGATCGTGAAGTAACCTGTGCACGCTGAGTCGCTGCCAGCAGACTCGCCGGTAGAGTTTTGCATTATAAACATCTAAAACCTGAAGCACAATCTGGCTCTGTTTGGGACTGTGAGCTGCACTTCATCGGAGCTGCAGAAGTTAACATGAGGATTTGTGCTGAGATGTCTGCTTGATTGGCAGTGATGGTTTCAGTTGCTACCTCTGATGAAGTGCAGCGCACTGGTCTCATTCAGTACAGTCTGAAGGGGGGCACAGCAGAGTGTAGGTCAGGTAGACTTTTAAAAAAAGAATTCTCATTAAATAATGATGTTAGTCTATTTTCTTCTGGACATGTCAGAACACAGATATGGGAGATTCTGAACGTGCAGAAAGTTTTTAACATGAGCAGAAAAGCTGGTGAAACAAAGTCCAGGAGTTTCTAACTGAACTGAAATTAAATAATTTATCATCAAGGTAAAAATGTGCCCCAACAGATAGATTAACAAAACTGAAAAGTTTTTTGTTTGAATTAAGCAAAATAAATATTATTTATTTTATCAATTTATAATAATTTATTATGTCACTAACAACTATAGAAGATAATAAAGTAAAGAAACAACATTTTGATTTTGGGACGCTATACGTTAACTTCAGGACGGTTCAAATTGTTTTTCAGGACGGTTCCGGGACGGAGGTCAAAAAACAACTAGTCTGGAGCCCTGTCCCACAGGTACAAACATTCTGTTCAAACTGAGTTTTTTTATTATTTTTTAACAAAAGGCTGACATACAACAACAGGCTTCAAAAATTATTCTGACCATAATTTCACAAACTCAAAATCTTACCGATTCTAAGATGAGCCCATAAAATACAAACTGGAACTTAAGAACTGCAGGCTACTTTGGTATTTAAATACAGTCCAAATTCACTTTTTAAAATAGAGGGGACATGAAAGTGATCTGATTAAAAGAGAAGGATTCCTTGAATATAGTACTCTGGTGTCATAGCTGACCTGACCCTGACCCTGAACCTGCTTATCTTAGCACTCATTAACGATTTGCCTATCCTGCATACAGCCACCGTCAGTGACCTTACTTGTGTCTAGATATGATGCCTTACAGTATTTCAAAGTAGACAAGCAGATGCTCTTCGTCTTTGGGCACACATGGATGACACGAGCTAGAACTAAGTCTATCCCTGTAATTTCTTTTCCAGACAGTTTAGAGAACTGGAACTATGAATATTTCTAACTAAATGGTTTTCATTTTAAAGCCTGCAGATCACCAACTCAATACAGCTGACATAACAAGGACTAACTGTGGAACCACTACAGATAATCGTGTTGAACTCATTAGTCCATTTGTGGATCGTGAATAGGTTACTGACCGAGGATTAATCAATGGCAATTTAGATCATTTATTTTTGTTTAATGGGTTTATCAAGAAGACATGTCAGACATTTGTTGGTTAAAGCGTCTCGGTTCTGTTTTGTGTGTCAGGTAGCTTTAACTGCAATATAATTTGGCTTCTACACTGTTTGTCACATAGACATGGCAACTTTTTCCCGTCTTTAGTTTCAATCTCTTGTCCAAAGATACAGATTTAACACTATTTAGCCTTAGAGTGATGGAGCCCAGAATCTACTGGGGACACTTCACAAATCCTAATTTGCCATGTATAAGTGACTCACTTGATGATTTTGCTCTCAAACTGCTTGGCACTCCTCCACTTGCGGATGCACTTTAGACAGTAGCAGTGGCTGCAGTTGGAGAGGATGCCGAAGCGGCGCTCACTTGGGTTGGCTTTCTCAAACACCACTTCCATACACACACCACACATCATGTCCTTGCTGCGTTGGATGGCAAAGGAAATCTCCATGTCTTTTTCATGGGCCTCGATGCATGCCTAGGAGAGGGAACAGTTAAACCAACACCACAACCTCCTCTCCAGTTCCCCAGGGTTCCGTTCCTCAGATAACCATCATCGACCAACAGCAGAGAATACAAAAGGTGTTCACTACATCTCTAATGTTACAGCTCTTGCTCTAATAAACTTCTTACAGACTAGATGGTAATGTTTTATCAGGTTGTGTTCAGACTACAGTAGCACTGCATCAGCTCCCTTATTCATTTTAAATGTGACCACTGCACTGAAGCAGCTGTGGCCATTGTAGGCACAACATTTGAAGCTGGCTCAAGTTTTGCTGTAATGCAGTGCAGCATCCTCAGCAACGCACCGCACTGGCCTTGCCAATCAAATACATGCAAATGCACATTGCTAGTAGATGACTTTGTAATGTGAACGGCATTCATTTACTGTTTAACATGTGGTTGTTGTGATGAAAGAAAAATAACTTACCCTGATATCTCTCCAGAAGTAAATTAATTTAAACTGCTGTGCAGCGTTTTGGCAAACGGATGGACTACTTAAACTGGACTTCATGGACTATAGGCCTACCTGATATGGCTGACAAAGTGTCAACTCTCAACATCTCTTACCATTAGACTACATGAGTTATGTTTAAATGGATTCTGCCAAGTTAACCTTGGGTCTCAGTTGTTAAGATTTTTTTGAAAGAAAAAGCTCTAGTAACTGAAGCAACACACTGCAATCTGTCTGTAGTAAAGAGCTGAACGATCTGCATTTACAGTGGACTTCAAAACCTTAATTAAATACAACAAATCTGTGAATGAAGGTGGACTATATGAGCAAGAAACAATTAATCAAACACAGCCAAACAAACATAAAAATGGTGATATCCATAGAGGTCTTATAGTGAAATATAGATATTCTACAGATCCCCAAAGCCAGGGGGATGAACACATAGAAAACAACACAACTGATAAGTATGAAAGCATTCTGTGGAAAAGCTCCTATGATATTCTCAGACATTCATTGTTCACGTTGCCTTGATTTCCTTTGTAAACCTGTAGAAAATCCAGAGTATTCCAGGAGATGTCTGACAGAGGGATAGTGACTGCACACCCCAGCATGGTTGATGTGGACCCACCAGCAGGTTCTTTCTGTAACGGTTACCTTTATGTGATCGGAGCGCTGGTTGTTGTCAGTGGGGTGGAGCACCTGGAGGCCACACATGTCACAAACGTCGCCGTGGAGATAGGCGCAGTTGATTCCGTAGCGGCACTCTCCAACAGCAGCATACGGACAGAGCTGCTTCCTCAGCTCTTTGTTATCCACTGCTGCGTCACTGTCAAACTCCTCGATGAGAGGGACGGAGCTCTCCACCTTCACTGGCTCAGCTGCAACACAAGGGTGTATAACGAAAAGAAAGTTTGTCATGCTACAGATATTAACAGATAATTAAAATGCATATCAAATACGGTAACATATAAAATAAATCAATATACTACACATATTTACATGCATAGGCTACACGTACACACCCAGAACATTCTGCAGTGCATGTTTTAAATTTGTGTCGGAGGAGAATGTAAACAGCAGGTTTCATCTTCACATAAAAAAAATAAATCTGTCATTTGGGAAACATTCACGTCGGTTTTTCAGTTGGCTTAGTTCAGACCAAAGAAAAGTGACGGCTTTTAGTTGCAGTATTTGGGTTCACACTGACCGAGTGAATGGAAGGCAAACTGAGTTCTTTTCAGGTGGTCTTGGTCCAGTTGTCTGGCCGGCATTGGAGTTTGAATAAAAGTGTTCACACGCCTAAATGGACCCAGTCAGATGGACACAGGATGTTTGAATCTCAAATAAAGTACCCAGACCCCAAAAGGGTTACAGACAAAAAAAAAAAAAATTTTTTTTAAATGATGCCAGCGTGGCAAGCCGTTCATCACTACGTTTCCAACTGAGCTGAGCATCCTGGAAAACTCAGCTACCTTGAGAAACACGCGCACACCCGTTCAGAAACACGCGCACACACCCCGTTCAGAAAGAGGATCAGGTATGAGTCTATGTGCTGGCACCACCCCTTATTTCCATTTAATGATCAAATTATCTTGTGCCAGGTTCAACATCAAATGTTAAATTATGAAAGACAATCCCAAAAAAAAAAAGTTGTTAAAAGTGTGAACTCATGGTTAAGTTTCCGTGAATGCTGGTCACTCACCTCGTCCACAGTACGGCTGTCCTGGAACAAACTCAGCAGCGTTGACCCAGTCTTGTGCCCCTGGACCAGGTGTTGGCCCACTGGGTTCTGGGTCTGATGGGACAGGCAGCGAGACAGAGGGCAGCGGCAGCGTCTGGGGGGCTGGCAGCTCCTCGTTCTTTGCCGGTTTGCAGTGTTCAAACCTGAGAAAGTGCAGAGGGCCAGGATGGTTACATCAGGATGTTTTTGTGGTGAAAGAAGGCAGTCATGGTGATGCGGTTGATGTGGTGTTCAAAGGTGAGGTAGCTGTCAAAGATGACTCAGAGGTTGTTGATCTGTGGGGCTAGAGATGAGGTGGAGTTTTTGATGGGGAGACTGAAGTTGTTGGTGTTTTTTGTGAGTAATTTGGGGTCGATGATGAAAATGTCAGATTTATTGTAAGTGAATTGGAAGCTGGTTTGCATCCAGGTTTGTCGGTGAGGCAATTGGTCAGAGTGGTAGAGGTAAGTGTAGGGATGGATTTGGTGGAAATGTAGATCTGGACGTCATCGGCGTAGCAGTGGAAGTGGAGACCATATTGACGTATGATATTTCAGAGTGGCTGGATGTACATGATGAACAGGAGGGGACCAAACACCGACCCTTAGGGGGTGCCTTGTGACAAAGGAGCGGTGGAAGAGGTGCAGTTGTTGATGCTGATGAACTGTTGTCTCTTGGTGAGATAAGACTGGAGCCAGGAGAGTGCGGTACTTGTGATGTTTGGGTAGGTTTCCAGTCAGGAAAGAAGAACGTAATGGTTAATGGTGTCGAAGGCTGCACTGAGGTCGAGCATGATGAGAATGTTAAGGTGGACAGATGAGAGGAGGTGGTCATTGGTGACTTTGAGAAGGGCTATGTCAGTGCTGTGTTGTAAATGCTCCATATTTGTATAGCGCGCCTTTCTAGTCTTTGACCACTCAAAAGCGCTTTTACACTAAATTGCATGCACACACAGTCATACACTGAGCCTAGGTGCTCAAACAGAAACTAACATTCACACACATTCATTCACTCACTCGCTCGCTCACTCACTGGCGGAACAGCCACCAGAGGCAATTCGGGGTTCAGTATCTTGCCCAATATGTGCAGCCTGGAGGAGCCGGGAATTGAACCGATTTCTAACGATTAACGGGCAACCCGCTCTACCTCCTGAGTCAAAGCCACCTCTTGTAAGCAGAATCCAGATTTAAAATGGTTTGAACTGGTTGTTAGATACAGTTAGGTAGATAATGGCAGTGATAAGGGGAGTGGAAGCAGATAGTTTGAAGGCGAGATGTTTAAATGACAGAACAGCTGGGGTGGAGATAATGGTTATTTTAATGTCCTTTCTGTAAACAGTGGCCCCCCCATTTTCAGGTGATGATGTTTTGGGATTTGTTGGGAGGATGGAGATCGAAGAGATTTACGTGTGAACTGTTGCGATGACATGGTAAGGAAATACGTTGAGACCACAGTGAGGAGATGCAGTTTGTTGTTGTGAAGTGGTATAAAAATAGGCAAGCAGAGCATTTGTGTGGAGGAAGAAGTAGTGATATGTGAGGTCACAAGGTGAGGGTAATTGAACAGGAAACTTCCAAGGTGGGCGGAGAAGACTTTAGGGAATGTGTTTAGGGATGTGTGGTGTAGTCATGCGATAGCATGTTGTAAGTTGGCTGCTAAAAGACAAGCTACCTAGTCTGTTTGGGTGCACTTCATCGGTCCTATAAAAAGAAAACGGTGTGTTGTGAGCATTGCAGGTGGACTGGAGTCAGGTGTTGATGCTAAGAAGTCTGCTTATGCGCTCGGAGTCATGGGACAGCATTGGTAAGGGACCACTGATAACAATAAAAAAAAAAATAAAATAAAAAAGACTAAACAAAGACTTGCCAAGACAGCTTTTTAAAAGGCTAAAAAGTTCATTAAAATCCTTTTTTGTCCGTTCAGATTCCCAACGAGCCGTGTCATTATGGCCAATACGAACAAGCACCCGGTTTATGGAGGATTGGAGGGAGTCAGTGCAGCAGTTAGAGTAGTTATTTAGGATAGGATAATTACACACAATAACTTTCCGAAGATCCGAAATGCCGGCGCCGTATGCATCTGCGCAAGCCTTGGAGTTGTAAATGGATTCAGACAATTTTTTGATCAGAGTTCTGAATGGAGTAGCAGACGAGTCTGGTGGGTCAAAACAGGATTGCCATGTTGGTGGCAGTGACACAGACAGGACAATCACAGAGGTGAAGGAGACGACAGAGCAGACACTGAAATTTCTCATCGATATAGCACACATGCCAGGGGTAGGCAGATAAACAGAGGACTTGGGCAAAGACGAAGAGCACCCAGTCGTCAACCTAGTTCAGACACTGACATTTCAGACACAGAATGGTTTCATGGCCCAGGTCTCGTTCTCCTTTCCGACCCGCCAGTGGTGTAAGACAAAGTTTTGTTTACTTTCATAGTATGTTACTCATATTGTATTACAAGTAGGCTATGTGCAACAGATGGCTGAAATGAAAGTAACAAGCAACAAGCAACATCAAGCATCAAGTCAGGTCAACACGAGCCTCCAGAACAGCTTCAGGGCTCCTTGCCAAGTCATTTTGTTCATACTGGAGGGAGGAACACCACCCCCCCCCCCCCCCCAAATATTGAAAGATTGGCACATTGGAGGAAAAAACACTTCAGTACAATGAGAACCCCAGTAATAAAAGAAAGATGAAAAATGTTTTAAACATTGTTACGTATATGTCTCAATAAGTCAACAAAATGGGGGCCATTCTTGTTTTGTGTACAGATTAGAACACAATCATACATTCGTACAAACTCAATAAATTTTTAGGGGGCTCCCTCAGTCAATACAAAAGGCAAACATTTGAAGAAGGTTAAGAAAGGCTGCCACTTACTGTAAAACTTATCAGTTAGTACCCAGAGAGTACCTAATCTTTTCCAATTTTAAAAAACATCACTGAGCCACTGAGTGCTGGAGGGAAGCTTTGTGGATTTCCACAAGATATCTAATTGGTTTGAGTTGTACCTGTTATAACCCTCCAGATAACCAAATATGGCAATATGGGGCAGTATTTTTGAGATGCTATCAAAATAGTTCTGCCAGAAGGAAAACAATAATGGGCAGAAAAAGAACATGTGGGTTAGGTTGCAGGGAGAGCCATGACATTTATCACACTATCAGTGACAGTGGGATAGATCCGTGACAGACGTGCTTTGGAGAAATGAATGGGGTGCGGAGGGAAATGTAGGAAACAATGATTTTCCGCAGTGTCTAACTTTGAAATAGCGAAAGAGATGGGACGGTGGAAGCTGAAATTCACTCGACAGGTCTGCAAAGCTACGAAAAGTACCATTCCTATAGAGATCTTTGAAAGTTTTGAGACCTTTGTCGTGCCAGATAGAGAATGTGGGATCACATAGTGCAGGTTGAAATTAGTGATTTTTCAGTAAAGGAGCTAAAGCAGACGCGGAATCAAAATTAAAAGTCTTCCTAAACTGGTACCAGATTTTTAGAGTTTATACCTCACTTCCTGTGTCCCCTTAGTGGAGCTACATAGCACTTGGCGCTATGAATATAAAATCGGTATTGGCGTGTAGATGTCTTCGGGGTGGGAGAGTTATCAAGCACGTAAAGTTTGGTTCAGATGTGAGCATGTACACTGAAGTTACAACAACTTCCTGTGTCAAGGCGAAGAGTTGATCTTTGACGCCACAGACACGCCCATTGACGAAAACTCACACATAGCACAACTTTTCATCGTCAATGCCTTTAGAAGGCACAGCAGAAATTTGAGGTCGATCCGACTAAACGCCTAGGAGGAGTTCGTTAAAGTACGGAGTGTGTAAAACATCCAAAAATGGCTGTAAAATTCAAAATTCTTTTTTTCTAGGTGGCGCTAGCGAGTCATTTTGCCACGCCCATGCGCGAAACCCATAAAATACAACATTTTTCACCACTTCTGACATGTGTGCAAAGTTTGGTGAGTTTTCGGGTATGTTTAGGCCCCCAAAATTGAGCGGTTCGTGCTCGGGCCCTAATAAGATTTTATGAATGTGTGATGCCCAGTAATAAACTGGAAGTTTGGGAGAGATAGGCCGGCACTGAGTTTACATCTCTGAAGCATTGGCTTACTTATTCTGGGGGCCATGCCGCACCACAAAAAGCTAGAAATGTCTCGATCAATTATCTTAAAAAAACGTTTTGATAAGAATAGAGGGAGACATTGGAATAAAAAGAGGAACTTAGGCAGGATATTCATTTTAACTGTGTTAATTCTGCCTATATGCGATAGAGGTAAACATCTCCATCTATGAAGGTCAGATTTGATTTTGGACATTAATGGGGAGAAGTTGGCAGAGAAGAGTGAAGTTAGAGTCCTGGTTAGAGACTTGGGCTGGAAACATACAGTAATAAATCATCCACATAAAGAGATAGTTTAAATTCCATTCCCAAACGTGATATCCCAGTGAAAGAGGAGGAGGACCTCAGATAAACTGATAAGGGCTCTATAGCTAACGCAAAAAGTAAATGAGACAAGGGACAACCCTGTCGAGTGCCACGGGATAAAGTAAAATAAATTGACTGAATACCATTGGTGGAGATACTAGCTGGGATGTGTAAAGAAGGCGTATCCATGAAATAAATGCATCACCCAATCCAAATTTATGTAATACAGCAAGCAGGAAGTCCCATTCAACCCTGTCGAACGCTTTTTCAGCGTCAACTGAGATCACCACTTCAGGGATTATGGTGGAGTGTTTGGAATAGATAATGTTTATAAGGGTGAGGACATTGTAAAATAGCAGACGCCCCTTTATAAATCCAGTTTGTTCTTCTGAAACCATGATAGGAAGAATTCTTTCCAAGCGACAAGCCAAAGCCTTTTTGTCTTTTTTTTAAAAGCAGAGTTCTAGAAGGCTTGTCGTAAAGTGCGAGGAAGAGAGCCATCCTGCAGAAATTCCTTATATACAGAATGCAATAAAAGGCGACTATTTAGATTTAAATCTTTAAAAAAAAAAAAATTCTACTGGGAATCCATCAGGGCCAGATGCTTTATTGTTTTGCATGCTATTTATGGCTAGGTTGATTTCCTCTAAAGGTCAAAGATGAATCAAGATCTTTAGCAACATCTGGGTTAATGGTAGGGAAGTTGAGACTGCTTAAGAAAGCATTCAT